GTCTAGCGATGTGGTCGCGAACACCGGGTTTTCCATAGACAGCTGGCATACAGCTTCGACGGCGGCAGTGCGGACCTCTGTAACAAGAACGGCATTCTAACAAACTTGAAAATATTAATTAATGGAGCGAGTTGGTAAGTAAAGGTCTTAGTAAACGTAACGGGTAACGTAACGTAACTAGGAGCCTAGGAGGGGACGAGGACGGGACAGGCTCCGTTCATAAAGTGAACGGCGACGGCGTCCCGTTCCGTCCGTGTTTCTCGCTACATATATTTTATTTCTATGTTTTTAAATGCAACGATGCCAAAAAATCGTCCCATTCTGGCTGGCACAAGAAAAAGCACTTCACGTATGCTAAGACCTTAAATCCAACTAGTCACGCGCAAAAGTACCCGCGCGTTCTCCCGAGATTCGGTTCGTACGCCGTGAGGCAGGAAGAACCAGGGGTGGCGGTGGGATTAGTCACGCGTTAGATACTCGTCGTAAGAAATTTCAATTCATCAATTTAACTACATCCTTTTTCTTTTAGAATGAGTCCAAGATGTGAATTGCATGCTGTATCAAACTAGTCTTCTTCACCTTCTTCCTCGGTCCCTCACTGATGAGGATAGCGACTACATAGGCCTACATACATAGCTGAGACATAAACTGTGTGGACCAAACGATGCAAGTTTCCACCCACCGTCTTCCTCACCGCGTCTGACCATCTTGTCGGTGCCCTGCCCCAACTAGTCACGTGTTGTTTAAACTAGTCACACGTCTGATACAACTAGTCACAAGTCTGATACAACCAGTCACACGTTTGATACAACTAGTCACACGTCGGGTCTTACTAGTCCCACATCTGATTCAACTGGTCACACGTTGTATGAACTAGTCCCACTGGCCCGCTCACCCATGAGCTCGTCTTCGAGCCCGTGCACGAAGGCGCCGGCCGCGCCGCCGGGCAGCAGCTACACGTCGTCCTGCTCCACCAGTTGTCCCGGCGCGTCGTCCGCCCGCCGGCCGGGTCACTAGTCACGCTGGTCCCGCCCACTAAAGCCTGGTTCGTGAGCACGTAGAATCCCGTCCAATGACCCCAAGCTACCCATCCCTATCGCTCGCGCGTAATTATGTTGCTGTCGCGACTGTGCGACGGGCGCCCGCAGTGAGTGTGCGAGCGCGACAGCAACATAATTACGCGCGAGCGATAGGGATGGGTAGCTTGGGGTCATTGGACGGGATTCTACGTGCTCACGGACCAGGCTTTAGTCACGCCGCTCACCCATGAGCTCGTCCTCGAGCCCGTGCACGAAGGCGCCGGCCGCGCCGCCGGGCAGCAGCTGCACGTCGTCCTGCTCCACCAGCTGTCCCGGCGCGTCGTCCGCCCAAATTGATAGATGGGTTTTGGACGTCCTGTGGTCGCCTGCGCAAGTTTTAGCGTACAGCTGTGGTGGTACTGGTAACGCAACACTGTGTTTCCAGTGTTAGTGCCAGTTGTCAGTTGTCTTGACTATATTAACGTAAGGTTTGTTCTATGATCTTACAGAAGAAACGCACGGCTCACGAACGCGGCGCGGAATTAGTGCGGTCGGGCGCTTGGGCCAGCGGGCGGCGCTGGGCGGACGACGCGCCGGGACAACTGGTGGAGCAGGACGACGTGCAGCTGCTGCCCGGCGGCGCGGCCGGCGCCTTCGTGCACGGGCTCGAGGACGAGCTCATGGGTGAGCGGCGTGACTAAAGCCTGGTTCGTGAGCACGTAGAATCCCGTCCAATGACCCCAAGCTACCCATCCCTATCGCTCGCGCGTAATTATGTTGCTGTCGCGACTGTGCGACGGGCGCCCGCAGTGAGTGTGCAAGCGCGACAGCAACATAATTACGCGCGAGCGATAGGGATGGGTAGCTTGGGGTCATTGGACGGGATTCTACGTGCTCACGGACCAGGCTTTAGTCACGCCGCTCACCCATGAGCTCGTCCTCGAGCCCGTGCACGAAGGCGCCGGCCGCGCCGCCGGGCAGCAGCTGCACGTCGTCCTGCTCCACCAGTTGTCCCGGCGCGTCGTCCGCCCAGCGCCGCCCGCTGGCCCAAGCGCCCGACCGCACTAATTCCGCGCCGCGTTCGTGAGCCGTGCGTTTCTTCTGTAAGATCATAGAACAAACCTTACGTTAATATAGTCAAGACAACTGACAACTGGCACTAACACTGGAAACACAGTGTTGCGTTACCAGTACCACCACAGCTGTACGCTAAAACTTGCGCAGGCGACCACAGGACGTCCAAAACCCATCTATCAATTTCCGCGCGTGTGTAAACGCTGCTGATACTATTTTTCGATACAGGCACGCTTTCGCGTGCGACTTTTAGCGTAGGCCCTAAGTAGTCCATGTCGACCCCCATGGGGTCGTTCGCGTTTACGTAAGTAACTAATACAATTAGCAGTCCTTGGGAGTCAAATAAGTGCTCAACAATAATGACCTGGATTTTTGCTTTGCATAAATAATAAGCTCCTATAACATAGAGGTAGGCTCCAATGACGTCCTACACAGCCGTGACGGCTGTGTCACGTCAATGGAGCCGGCTGAGCCATCATGTACATACTATGTCATGGAGATGACATCAATGAGCTACACTTGCCTTCATATTACTCATGAGCTGCTTGTCCAGCGTTTGCAGCAGGAACCGGTCGGACACGAAGCGCGCGGCACCCAGCAGCGAACACGCTAGCGCGCGCACCGCCATGCACAGGTCGTTGACCGCGGAGCAGATGCGAATGAACGCGTCGTCCACCAGGCGTAGTGTCGTCTCGCCGTCTTGAAGAGTTGTCAAGCTGAGGAAAAAGTTTTATTTCATCACTATCAATAAGATTTGCATAAAGTATATATCAAAATTGATATAGCATTGAGTATAGAGGTTTATGTAATTTCATGTAAAAGGTAAATAATATCATTGTTACTTGCTGCTTTGATTCTGAGAACTCCACATTCAGGCTCAGGAGAAAGCGAATAGCATCAATCTGAAGAGTTATTGTAAAAGAATTGGGGTGACACAGCTGGAACTATCATTTCAATCCAATCTGATAAAGGCTGATGGCTGATCGCAGATAGAATAAAAGAGAGAAATAAAACTTCCTGCTTTGAGTCACATTTAGGAATATTTTTTTACCTTTACCACCTATAATAAGGCAATGACGTGAATTTTTTACATATTTAAAATGATCCTTTATAGAAATACTAGCTGACCCGGCGAACTTTGTTCCGCCTTAATGGCAATAAATAAGCAGACTTTTTTTTTTTTTTTTTCGAACGGGATAAAAAGTATCCTATGTCCTTCTCCTGGCTCTAAACTACCTCCCGGACAATTTTCAGCTAAGTCGGTTCAGCCGTTCTTGAGTTATAAGCGAAGTAACTAACACGACTTTCTTTTATATATATAGATTATAGGCCAGTTCAATGGTACTCTTAAGGTACACGATAATAAATATTAATACAACTATGATATAACTTACTGTTCTGGATACTTGTTCCCCAGCAACCACACTAACTTCAGAGCCACTTCGCGCACAATCTCATAGTCATCTGACAGAGCAGGGCACACTTGCTGATAAAGATCTACACTGAGTGTCTGCCCTCGCTCAGCAAGTGTCAGCAGGGATTGGAATGCCTCACAACGCACCCTTGCATCCTGTGAACAGTTTTACATTGATCAATTTTTATGACTTCATTAAAAAAGTTTAATCAGAAACGTAACAAAATATTGCCATAGA